CCCCAAAACCCCAAAACCCCAAAACCCCAAAACCCCATGATGCCTAGGTTTGTAAAAATGTAAGACAAGTTAATTGAAAAGAATAATAATAAATAAAATAGGTAAAAAATTATGGGAGCCGTCAGTTCAAACTAAATAAGACCACCTGATCTAAATGATAGACCTTCATCGCTTAACAGTCAGAGTTCGAAAAGTAAAATTAGAGAGACGAATGTTGATATTCGTGAAAACAAGTCAAAAACTGAGTAAGTTTTAAATCAACAAATCAAAACATACACCAATATAATTCATAAAAATTAAGTCTTAATTATGATTGTTTTACAGGATAACATTAAGAACTTACACTTGGCATAGAGATTCGCATGGACTATTTGACTATGAAAGCAAGAATATTACAAACAACTTTCTCCGATGCAATTATTCTTGTAACTATATTTACATTTATAAAGACTTAAATTAGCTGTGCTGTATCGAATTGAAAATAATATAATATTCGAAGAGTTGAAATCCATGGACAAAAATACAAGTTCACTTTCTACTGTATTTGAGAAAGATAGTAACATAACTATAATGTTAACATTGCTCTATTTTAGGCAACTACTGGATATATCACAAAAATGTTGTAGAAGATTAAGACGAGGAAAAATTGAATCCGGCAGACAAAGCTTGGCTTATTGTTAAATATATGAATAATAGCCTCAGCAGTCAGAGAGTAACTGATTTAATCCCTTTTTTATTCATTAATCTTAGGGATACAAGATAAAAATAGGCGACACATTAAAATTTGGAAGGGTTAGATTTAAGGTTATCATGATGCACAATGAGTTAGATGGAGAGTAAATATACCAAGTCAAGCCCTCAAGCACCAATCATAATTAGCCCAAAAATAAAATGCCTTCGAGAGGTTCTATAGAAAATACTGAATCAGATAATGACATGCCAGACATTGATGATGAACCTGAAGCACTTAACGGGAATAATAGACAAAATGGGGGAAGTAGAAATATCTCGAATCATTTGAACGCCTAATCTCACCAGAATAATGATAGAGATAGTATTTCATTGCCAAAGATGGATTCATTTAACAAGAAATTTAGAATGAAATCGAGCTCATCAAAAATAAATAAAGAAAAATTACAAAGAAAGGAAAGTGTCGGATCCCAAGGTCCTCCAATTTGTAGAATATGCCTTGGTGATGAAAACGTTGAACCAAACCCTTTAATATCACCTTGCAAGTGTAGTGGATCGATGAAATGTATTCACATTGAGTGTTTGAGAGAATGGCTTAATAGCAAAAGCTCTTTTAAAGAAAATCCTTCAGTAAAAACCTATTGTTGGAAAGCCCTAGAATGCGAGTTATGCAAAATGAGATTCCCTGATAGGATAACATCAAGCGGTAGCAGTATTGAATTAATTTCATATGAGAAGCCAGACACAGAATACATAGTTCTTGAGAGTGTAACCTAGCAAAACATTAAAATCATCCACGTAATTGACATGGATAGTCGAGAATAGATCAAAGTTGGAAGAGGGCATGATAGTTAAGTTCGAATTACTGATATCTCTGTTTCAAGATGCCATGCTATGATCAAGAAGAGTACTAGAGGAGAATACTTAGTAGAAGATAACAATTCAAAGTTCGGTACTTTAGTTCTAGTTAGGAAACCCTATATGCTGCAAAAATTGTAAACTAACTATCTGTAGCTCGGAAGAACTCTTATTGAGCTTACTATGAGAGATCCTAGAAAAGGCTGCTCAGTAAGAGGTATATGTTAGAAGAAAAGTTCGAAAGCATAAAAGGGTGCTGGATTAACTTTTGACGGAGAAGATTTTTTCCCTGATGAGTTCTTATAAAAACAACATGAATTTACCAGAGAAGAAGATAATGTGCATAGGAATTCTAGCAAGTTAAAGCCACACTTGAGAAATCCGAATGGAAGAGGTCCCTTCGAAGATACTAATAGAAGAAGTTAAGCTCTAGAAAATATGACTGAGTAATTGCCTGGAAATCTAAACATTGATGATGACTATGGAGAAGATGAGGGTGTCCTATCTCCTGATGATTTAAGAGATAATGATAATATGAATGAAAGGGAAAGACTTTAGATTATGAATGAATTATAACAAAGGATAGGAGCCAATGTATTTGATAATGATTTAGATAATAATGACCTCGATAACTCTCAGACTTTCCTCAATAATAGAAATCAATTGCCAAGTAACATAGCCAATTAGGATTAAAATAATTTCTACTTGACTTAAAACATTAACAATCCAAATATTGATGTGGGATTCGACTCTAGTATTGAGGAAATTAAGGAGATATCAGAAAATTCAAATGCTAGGGACAAATCAGGAAAAAGTGGATAGTCTGGGACGTTGATAGTATCTCAAAACTAGTCACAATAAATGCGATCAAGTACCTCCAACAATAATAATGTAAATAGACAAGATTCCAATAGAAGTAATGCATCGGGTGCAACTATAAATCACCAAAGATAGCACAATCTAGTTTAGGAAACAGCATCTATTCCAGTAGTATAGTTCTATTAGAACACTCCTGCTATGAATAACAAAGTCAATGTTATGAGTAGAAATGATCTCCTCATGATGGCTGCTAGTGGGCAAGAGACAGTTAATAATCATTACAATGCAGATATATCTGGAACTCATCATATTGTAGATCTGAGTGATGCAGATCTCTCATCCTAGTAAATTATGTTCGATAATTCGATCTATATACCTTAAAACGACAAAGCTACACTAATGATTCACTCCTAAAACCATTCTATGAATGCCAATCAAAGCATTGTAAAGAGCAAAATACAATCATCTTAAAATGTGAATATGGTTATTGAAGGACAGATACTTGCAACAAACTTGACTAGTCTTCAGTAGCCAGATCTAGATACACTACATGATGATTAGAGGAGAAGAAGTGCATCTCAGGCTTTGAAAGACTTATATATAGATGCGAAGTTTGGATCGCAAAATGATGAGTCAAGTGTTATGCAATATATGCAAATCAACAATATGAAATACATTAAAATAGGAGAGAATGAAAGCACCGAGGAAAGAAAACTCAATAGTAAGATGTTAGAGTAAAATGTTAAGCAACTACATATCACTGGAGGATAATCTGATAGATAAGTACTAATAATTGATAATAGTAACTTTGATGATTAAAACAGTTCTGACATTAGCAAGCCAGATGATAAGAACATATTCAACAATAATGTGCTGATAGTAGATAATAATCCCTAACTTCACTGAGAAATCACCTACAGTCAGATTCACTATCAAAGTGGGTCAATAACATCATCTTGATAATTCGTAATAATGATATAGAAATATGATAATTGTAAGTAATAATGGTTGATGTAGTAGGAAATCAAAACTATCTATTCTCCAGAATTATAAATTAATCAATAAATTAAGATTCGATAATTATGAAACAACTATATATTGGAGTGTAATTTTATCTATTTAGGTGTCATGGGGTTTTGGGGTTTTGGGGTCCTACTACATCAACCATTAT